TTTTAATAAAATTCAAATAATCTTGGAAACTGGTTCATGCATTTTTAATTTGACGAGAATTTCACGGTGTTTATCCCAACGATGTTTACGAGCATAAGAAATTAAGGTGGACATTCCACGAGTCTGTCATCTCCAAAGGTATATTACAAATTCTTTACGAAATGAGTTTCACGCATTGACGAGTTTCTTCGTGTGCGAGTAATTTAGGCCCGTCTTCATCTCATTAAAAGACATAAAAGCTACTCCTCGACCCCGGATGAAATCATTGAATCCGTTAAGTATAGTGGTCGTCGGACGTAATTACTGAAATTAGGCTGTCTAACTGAATGCTCTGGATGCTTGAAACGATCGAGTAAATAAAGACGTGCACGATATCTTTTATTTTCAAAATTTTACGGACTCGAAACTCGTTTGCTATTAATTCTATATTCTCTGCGATGGTGTACTCATTTATCTTTCTAAACATTTAGAAGAATTTCAAATACACTATAATTATAATAATATAAACGAAAGTGTGTAATACCTAATGAAAATTTAATAATATAACATTTATTGTAAAAATAATCCAACTTTAGTTTATTTATGCTGTCTTGTTTATTCTACTTTGTTATAATTTATGTTGCAATGGAAAAATATGAAAGCACTTGAAGAATAGCAATGTTGATTATAATTATTTATACCATAAAAATGTCTCACACAATTCTTTACATTTTAAATTTAAATTAAATTTAAATTAAAAAGAATTGTTATTACCATTACGTTATTACTAAAAAATTATATTATCCTCTCATTACGTATCAAAATTTTACCAATTAATTAAGTTTTTATCACAATAAAAGCTAACGATAATTTCACCAGAAACAGCTACATACCTTCAATATAAAAATACAAAAATAAAAAATCTGAAACCAGTTGTTGCAATTCACTCGATAATGCTAACGTCAATTTGAAATATTAGAGAAAAGCATAAAAGAAATAAATTAAAAATAATTTATATAAAATATCCATCAGTTGCACGATCTTTTAATAAACGAAAGTGACGACTTCAATTCTCCCAATTCTCAAACACACATGCTCTAACGATTTCTAGCAGATAATACGATAGTTTCTACAAATATCTCGCATTTCATACACCGCTGCGTTTATCTCTCCATCTGTTTTTCAACGCGTCATACACAGGCCGAACTAGAAATTGATTCGGATTTTAAAGTGGACGGACATCGAATCGGATGACTAACCGGTGAACTTTTATCGGCATTACGGTGAACAGCAGATAAAAATAGTGCCTGGCTTTTGTTTGCTTTTTAACGATAGAACGTTTAAGCCGAAACTCGACAGTAGCGACCGTTGTCGATTCGATAAGAAACAAAATTCCCTACAATTATCTACTTCTCTTTTTATTGCCTATACGAATACTATCTGTATATTTTTCCTACGTTTCAGTCGACGACCGTCTCGAGGTCTAATATCCTGCTCTGCTCATTTTTTAATACCAAACGATCAAATCTTGTATATTTTGCAATATACAGGGATACCCCATGCTGTTTAATCAGCTTCAGAAATGAAACAATTACTAAATTGATAAATAAAAAATTTAGAAGATAAGAAATTAATTAGCTAATAAATAATAAATAATTTCAAAGTACAAGAAAATAAGCTATTTGAGTCCGGAAGCTGTTAGTCCAAAAAATAATTTGCCGTTTAATTAGTCGTCATTCTGTTTTCTAATTCAATTTAATTAGTGAATTTCATCTAGTGAAATTTGAAGTACAAAGAAACATAATACTTTACCCCTTTCTGTATATTTGGATTCACTTTGAATTATAAGATATTAAAAGAACATTTAACAACCGGAAGATATTGAGGATGTATATCAACTTTTTAATGTGTCAATAACCCATGGGTGTACTAAAACTCAAAAACAAACGTGAACTCTTTGGGATTTCACCCGTTTAAAATTAGTACCAACAATGTTATTTTCCGAGTATTGGTCTTAGTCATACTCGTATATCATTACCGATATTTACACACTGATTAGTCATGTAAGGCGGTTACTCATCGATACGTCGATTACTTTCAATAATTTTAATGATAAATCATGTCGGGCGCCTGTCCCGTGGAAATGTATTAATTTAAATTTACGAGTGTTCTAATTTGCATTTCAATAATTGATTGTCAGCTAACACATTGTTCGTTAAACCTCTTTAACGCCCAAACTCACGATTACTTTACAAATGTCGAGTATCACCATTAATCACTCTTACGACGGAAGTCACTAGTATTATGTTAGTGATTTCTTTAACACTAGAACTGCCAAACTAAATGACTGACTTCAGAATCTTTATTTCTGCGGTCGTTGCAGATGTACATCTGTTTTTCACGGGATTAATGAAGATTATACTGATTTTTATAACAATGAAATTAATAAAATTAATTTTTTATTTATAATAATAATTATTTATTTTATAATAATAGATTTAAGGAAATTAACTTTTGTATACTTATTTATCTTCATCGTATCAATAATTATTATCATAAAAGTATACTATATTTAAGCACACATTAACTAGTGTCGATACATAACCTTTAACATTTGGTACACTTAGCATGTTTGACACAAATATTTTAATACAAATGAGACACAATTTACATCAATTTAAATTTAAGTCAATGACAAATTCAGGAAACAAATATTTACTATTTCAATATTTACGGTTAATCTAATATTTATTTCTACGGATTTAATATTTAGTTTAAAGTACATTTTGAAATATCCCTAGGTGCATGTCGACCATATTGACTCGCCAGCTATTTCAGCAACGAGCGACGATTATTAACGATTGGAAGGCCGAATTTTCTCAGCAAAGGGAGCACGTCTCATTGGAAACTTCGCAGAACGACCCTGACTTAATTTCGACGTTTAATTTCGGACAAGCTCGCGATGAGATTCCACAAATTTTTCACTAATTTTTCCCCTAACCTAGAAGCGAACTAGAACGCGCCTCGTCGCGTCAAAAGTCTTCGACGTTTCGTCGTTCGAGGTGACTCACATTTCTTGCGCGAATGCTTTGGCAGCTGGACGAAATGTTTTTCCTCTAATTTACCATGGACCCGGGTTTAAACGACCCCAAAATCAGAAATCGCTGTGTCACGGGTAAACGTTCCAATGTTCGTCACGTGTCTGATCGATTTAACCGGCTCGTGGAACTTTAATGATCGCGACTTCGAAGAATCTGTTAATTCCGACTTGGGAACATGCGTTATACTTCCTGCTGCGTTGATGAAATATTTCCGCTGACGCCATTTTTCATTCCGTTTTTGGAGGGAAAAATATTTTTGCGAAGGACGAATTAAACGTTGCTTGACGTTCTTCGTTATTTTTACTTTGGGATATCACTGTCTTTATATCGAATAATTTTTCTTACGGTGTTACCGATGCGTTATTCTTTCAAAATTTTCAATTTCCAAATGTAAAATAATTTTTGCGAACGTTGCTCGTTAAAGTCAAAATTAATAAATTTTATGAAATATATTCTGGATAAATGATAGTTGTTATACTTTTATATTGTAGAAGGAATTAGGTGACTGTTGATCTTGTAGAAATTGTTAGGTATGTTTTTAATGAAAAATATATTTTTGGAAAATCTTTAATAACAGAACCTTTACTGTTTGTTTTTATTTATGTTAGTTTGCAATATTCACGCTATTTTTATTTAATGGTATGATTGTGATTATACTGAACAAATATATTTTACCGATAATATTATTAATGATTGTCATAGAACGTCCTTTTTATATATATTTTCAATGTTGAAATGTATAATAATTTTTAAAGTGAAAAGTAAAAAATCTCTTAAATATATTCCAAGTAAATGATAGAGATTTTATTTACAGATTGGTTCTATATTAATTTCACATAAATTCATTTTTAGCGAAAAATTAATTTTTCCAAGATTTTAATAGTATCTGCTTTTTCTCTTATGTTGGTTGCAATTATCTTCGTTTTCCAGTATTCGTACAAAAACGGTATCATATTTCTTGTGCAAGATAAGATTTATAGATAAGCGGTGACTTGTTGATGGCTTTGAAACCAATTATGCTAATTTAATGCTCAGTGAGGTTGGACAATAGTCCACAAACGTTTCTTTGAACAAATGCTTGGCAATATTTCATAACCACTAGTAGACTGTCATTGTATTTTAATTAATATTTTACATACGATTCATATGGGAAAAAATGATGTTGCGTGTGGTATTCTAATAAAATCAAAATTAATATTTATGTTTCTATTTCCATATGATTCCAGTGTCAACAGAAATTAAAATAAATCTCACTATTATTAATTGTATTACTCTTTATAGTATTAGTATTAGATACTACCATTACTAATTTTATTTCAAAATGCAGCGGTAATAATATTAATAGCAATAAAATATCGAATAATTTTATTAATTTCATTACTATCAATTTTATTATTTTCTTAACATTAATTTCAGTTTGTTAATTTTATTTAAAAATTTAATAGTAACAAAATTAACAGCAATCAAATACAGAATAATTATTCCTATCCTATTAACCCCTTACATTTGAAGGGCGACAATTCGCCCTTTAATCGAATTTCGGAGATCGATGTTAATTATTATTAAAATTTAAGATAATGTAGCAGTGCGCGAGGTATCAAAATCACATAATTCAACGCGTTAATTATTATACGACTCGTTATTTATTTATGTGAAAAATATCGTCGATTTCATGACAGAAAATCATTGAATTTCTACTCTTCTGCAGCGAAAAAATCACCGTGTGCAAAGGGTAAATTAGCCTTCACTATTTTCAATTAATAATCGATATTTATCCAACTACGATATTTAAATTCCTTTACCCACACAATGCTTTATCAAAAACAGTACTACTTTAAATTCTGTCAATTCCAAAATACAAAATATAGCAATGTTTCAAAGAAAAAAAAATAATATTCAAAGAAATTTCGGTGTACTCACGTTATCATTTTGGAGCAGACTGTAGGAATTGTTCGAAGGGCCAGGACTTGGCGACGTGAGTTCGGAAAGCTTGCTAGGAGACAATTTCTCGCTGGTTCCACCCTCTGCACTGTCGCTGCTTCCGCTGCCACTGTAAGTGCAGTATCGTTAATTGATATCTATTTTCAGCCGGTCTTCGGGATCGTGCTCGTACGAGCAGTTCAATTTATTCGTAATGACCAGCGTAAGGAGAAACTTGCGCGAACAATCTTCCGTATAGAAATTCATCTATGCAAATATACTAATTTAAATTCCGCATAATTATCCACCGATCATGTCCGCCTCGAAACGTATTCGCGACCGTGTGAAATGAATTTCTGCCATCGTTTCAATGATTCCTTTCGAGATATATTTAGATTCGCGACAATTAACCTTTTTTCCCCCTCCACGGGAAAAACGCGTAAGTGACTTCTCGGCAATATGAAAAATTTCACACGCGCGAGATGCAGTACTGGTATATAAATTGCTCAATTATCCTCGCGTTGCTCTTTTTGCAATCGAAGCATCCCAGTGTTGTAATAGTATACTTTGTTATTTCACTCGGAAATTATTCACGACAGGTTTATGTTATTCGAGCTCCGTATCTCGTGTTTCTTTCACTTTCGCACATCGACGGAATGGCAGAAAATTTGGAATTGCAATAATTCGAAAAAAAATTTCCTTCGTTATAATATTTATAACAATTTTTAATTCGTCGTTAAACATTACTTCGATTTATCCGGACATTATATTTTGTAGAATTAGTCATTTCAAAATAAAAAATGGAAATTTAAAATTGTAACGATTACACGTGGAATTTTGAAAATAAGATGTGGTATTATCCACTGTGATATATTTATTACATATTATTTTGATTGATTTTGAAATTTCTGTTGCGAGAAAAATTCCCTAGGCAAATTTTTATTGAAAATTTGGAAAATGTGAATAAAATTATTGTGTAACAAAAACCAGGCAAAATGGATTGAAGAAAACATCGAATGTCAATAGTACAGCTCACGTGTTATTTTTCTTAGTTAATTTTTTACGATATCACATGTCACTTCGAGGTTATGTAACCTCTTATATATGCATATTTTATCTCTTTACACTTATCCGTTATTATACTCTGCATTATTATATCACATAACTATAAATAAATATTCTCCATTTTGATATTACTAAAATTATTTAGAAATTATTTAGAAATTGTAAAAGAACGTGTAATTCATTAAACCCCTGAAAACTTTAAAAACATTGACTGTCAGCCATTTTCAGATAAGATTTACCACTTATTCCTACAAGATTTATATCTCTTAAATAATGAAATTGAGAAAAAATTAACTCATCATCACGCTTCTCCAATTATTAATTCGTATCATTTCTCGAATAAAAGAAACTATTTAATAACATTAAGTACGATGTACGTAGGACTTTTACAAAAATTTCAACCAAAATCGCAAAAAGAAGAAAATTATCAAACACACTCTAGCTCCCCTCCAAAATCTATCACACCTTCACACCTAACAGTCCATTAAATCACCAATTTCCTTCGATCCACGAAGTGACACGATCATCAGGATCGCGAGAAAAACAAGCTCATCGCGAGGAACCAACTCTGAACACCTTTCTTCCGTGGAACCTCGGAACCAAACCTCGGTACGTAGAAAGAAAGAACCAGAAAACAGTTCTCACCGACTCCTAATCGACAGCCATGAGAGGCAACGGATGCCAAAAGACCTCACCGAGCATGGGAAGCCAAGCACGGTGCGTAACGACGAGCAGGGATCCTCTGGTGATACACTAGGACGGAAATTGGCAGCTGCTGGGAGAAATCGGAAGGTACAAGGCAGTGATGGAAGAAGGAATATCCTTGACAGCGGGTCCACGGTGTGCAGAGGAGTCGGAGAGCCGAAGACACGTCGAGGATGCTGATCGATGCCGGTGAAGCGATGCGGAGGATCGGCGAGCGATGGCTACGGTGCCAAAGTGAACCAGTCGGACGAGCAAAACAGCTGTGGACGTCGGGAACGGATTCCAAGCGGCCATAAAGACCGTGGCATCCGGAGCACAGGGAAGAACGCGCGTCCACGTCGATCGCGTCGGGTATCACCGGTTTTCGTCTTACGCAATCCGGCCGAGTCCTCTTCGCGTTCTTGCAAGCGTTCCACGATCCGGGTGTATGGGGCCTCGGCGGTGAAAAAAGTGCGCGCGAGGAGGCAAGAAGGCACTTCTAGCTGGCGCGGATCGGCACTACCGGCGAGGCCGTGGCCGCGGCAGGTATTATTAAAACCTAACAAGTACAAAGTGAGTCGGTCGACCGGTTCGACGGTGCCACCGGCATAGCGTTTAATTCTTCTACAATGTTCACGACGTGGCCGACGACACTCTTCCCGATCCCGTTGCTATGGAAACGTTGGCCTTGACCCCCAAGAACGGGGTCATCTTTTTCGTTGCCCCTTTGCTCGTTTTGCGAAGCGCTCCCCGGTGTGTCCGTGGATGTGGTCATTGTCGAGAGGTGGAGTCATGGGTGAGGGAGAGAGAGAGAGGGAAGAGCGCGCGAGCCGCGCCACGGACAGGGAAATGCGGATCACGTATATACAGGGTGGTCGTTTTGGACCGACCGGTGGTTCTCGCGAATTCTTCCGCGAGTAATGTCATTTCGGTTTTCTTAATTTATATTATTACGAAAAAATCATTTAATTCCTCTTCGATCATGTCAACATTCAGCAAAAGGAAAATTATGAAAAATAATTTCAAACGGAAATTATATTAAAATTTCTCGAATTAAGTTTCCATGAGTGATCGATCGATCGAATTATCTTCCCACGCGGAAGTGTATCGATCTCGGAACATTCATGGCTCGAGGCCTAGATTCGAGTGTATCATCGCGAAAATACACGGCCAGCGACGAAAACGTTTGCCCCAGAATGTACGGATATTTGTGAAAATATTCGAAAGTCCGTGTTTCTCTCCTTGCCACCGTAAATTACGCGCTGTGAAAGACACAAGTCCGCAATGGAAAACGGGACTTGTTGGCAGAATCGTTTCGTTCGCGTGGAACAAGGTACGTTTCATGAAAACCGCGAAACGACTCGCAGTGAAACGTATATTCGCGATTCTTTTTTTACAAACACATAAACGCGATTTTTTCCTATTTTTCTTTTTTTCTGTCGAGGGTTTTAGGTCGTGTGCAACTACTATATTATTCGTAATCACGTTGTTAACCCTTTGTACTCGAGGAGCAACTCGTTTTAATGCCTCAATTTAAGTGTAAAAATCTTGTGTGAAAAGTGGATAGTAATTGTAATATTATTATTCAAAATAAAATAGTGATTCCGTTTCGTATTACCTGCTGTAAAAGACTACTTAATTGATTTTGTGATAAATCAGCTAAGATCTATTTTGCTATATCAAAGATCTTCGAGTGCAAAGGATTAAAATCAGTGAAATTTACAGTGCAATAATTGACAGGTTCCTTAGCAATTGCTGTAAGTGTAATAAGTCGAATGTTAGAATTTTTGGGCGAAGAATGCAATGCTTCAAAGATTCCTTGTGCTCATTTTTCTGTGAGATGAAAGACAGAGAGATATTGCAAGAATAAAATAAGAAACTGGAATAATGTATTTTTATTTTTCAATGCTTCGAAGGAAATAAATTTTATAGATGCGTTCAAGTGTTATACAATCTTGTCATTTGATTTGTTTTAATAGTTTATTTCCCCGGCATAACAGATAAGATTAGAAAATACTTTATATATAAAATGCAATGAGAGAAGTGAAGTGTCTCAAGGATTTTAAAGCCAATTTTATTCTTTAAATGAAATTACATGCTTTTTATAAATTTTTCACAAATCAATGCTTAAACAATAAAATATGAAAATGATTAATTGAAGTATATATAAAAGAATATATGGGAAAAATATATATAAGAAACATGGAAAGGGGTATCCAAGAACTACCCTGTAAAATAAAAATTAAAATACCTTTTAAACCAATTGTTTTTGAATACAAGTGTTTTAAATTTTTCAGAATAAAGAAAAGAAAAGCAGAAATATTACTTCTGTTTACTATTCAATATTATTTCTATTTACCAAACATTCTCATCACCATGTAAATCATTTACAAGACAAAGTGATTAATTCCATTCATTGAATTCTATTACATGCCAAAATGTTTGGCAGATGTTTAACTCTTTATACATAAAGTAAATTTCTATCTTTTGTTTCGTGGAGTTAATCGATAGAACAAATGAACGGCTTACATTATAAACAACCATTACCAATACGAACACCCTCTACACGACCGTTCCGAATCATTTCAACCTCCATCGTTGCTTCGTCTAACAAAAATCACAGTACTCGGTAACCTCGTTGGCACGCAATGCACCCTCTGTTCATAATAAGAGACGCGTTTCCATCTGCGGTAAAAAAGAAAAGCGGTCATCACACTCGCGTCCCTAGCCGACTTCAAATAGCGCGGGCCTCGCGAGAAGCGCGCCAAGTTCAAACGCGTTCACGGAACACGCCGATGCGGACACGATCGACGACCGCCGTGCAATTATTCCAGGAAGCGTTCTGTGCTTTCCTTTACGACAAACGGTAAAGCTTTTTCTTCCACGTGATCGAGTAGGCGAGACGAAATTCTTTGGTGCGTGGTTGTTGGATAAAAAATAGCCCGACGTCGCGTGGCATTGCGACGAATTCAGATGACTTCCTACAGCGAATTGCAATTTCTTCGAATCACGCGTCATCGCGAGTAGAATGTTTGACGATCGTTTAGACATTCGAGTCGATCGCTGATTAACTCTACTTTTTGAACTATTTTAAATTTTGACGAAGACGATTATTAAGTTTTTATTAAATTTTCGTATTTAAAATAAATTACTATATCTTATTTTGAGTTAATTGATTAGCTAAGTGAATGAGTTTTGGGATATTAAATATGCCTGTTTACATTTGGAAGTTATTCCTCGGCGTTGCCGAGGCCTGTGATCTCGATGGAAATAAATTTCAGGTCCGATTTTAATTTTGTCAGTCAAACGTCATTTCAAGGTTATGTTGTGTTACACATATATGAACGTGTTTTAACATTAGCTGAACGACGCAACAGACTC